TTAACAATTATTAAAAATTATTTTTTTCATGAAATTATCTTTGGATAAATGAGTTTTATGACTGGGTGATATTTTCTTTGCATTGCTTTATTAGTTTTAAAAATATGACTAAAAACGTAAAAAGTGAAATTAATAATTTAAGGGGTACGAACTTTGGATCGCTCTCCGGACTAAACTATGGGGACCATATTTCCCAGAATGCGGCTACCCCCTATATTTTGAAGGTTAAGAATCCAAATATGTGAAAAAAATTATATGTTTATTCAGAGAAAGCACGTTTTTGTGTCTGATTTCGTAACTTAATTAATAGTTAGCACTAATTAATTAGCATATTTGAGGTCACCCCCAGGAACCATTAAGATTGACACTTAGTTCGTGAAAATCCGATCATTAGAACGAAAGTTATTCAGGGTGATACCTTTTTTTTTTTTTTTTGCTGACTGTACATCAAAATTTATTAATAATAATTTTTGTTTTGTATTTTTCAATTGAAACAATGAGATAGCAATATTTTTAAAACTGGTATCTAACTTTATAGACTATCACTAAATTTTTTCTCGATTTGATATGAAGCGCCCCCCCTTGAAAAATGTAAGGTACTTTTGAGGTTCATGTGAGGTTGTTTTGAGGTGTCAAGTTTTCACAATGGGCTAATGGCCCTGGTCGGGGAATCGCCCCTGAGGATGACCCGACACATGCCATCACAATTTTGATCCTCAGAAGAGGGAATGGCTTCCCTCTTCCCTTGGCAGCCCGACTACCTGCACATGAAGTTGAGAATTTTGAAGGTAGAGCAGTTTAACTTTCACCAATACCGCGCACCCTCAGTTCATACGCAAGCCGAACAAAGTGGTCACCTACCCGCTCACTGACCGCCGCGACCAGTGATGCTTGGCGTCGGTATTTTACTGGAAACCGTGTCTTTATGATCCCACGACTGTGAGATTCGATTTACTGTGAATTGAATCCCGCTCCAAGTCCGCCACGGATTTTTAGTAGTAAAAAAAAAAAATAAATAAATAAATAAAATAAAAATGATATTATATTCCAGTTTCCATAATAATTATTCTGTTATACTTTTAATTACTGGCATAATTAAAACACAGAAGGTTTTATTCAAATCTCTAAAGTGAAAATATATCAGCCAACTTTTGGTCATCCCAGAAATGCTCTTTTTCAAGTGGTAATATAAAAATTCAATAGCATGCAAAAATATTTTTATAATTTGCCGTTGTTTAAACACACTGTTAATCTATCTTATTTTATAACCGTCGTTGAACAGCCGACCCAATTTTTTATGGGTTTACGACTATGTACAACTCCGTACTAATGTTCAACTCCGTAGCCTTGTCATTTTGAACCCAATCCAGAAGACAAGAGAACTCCTGGATCGAGTATTGGGAGAAATTCGCCTTCGTGGAGGACTTTTTGATGGAGCTAACCCGCATTTGCGTAAAACGGAGAGGAAGGCCACGAGAACCTCCCACGGTTTGCCTGACGGCAAGAGGACTCTAACCCATGATCCGTCTTAGGATATTTCACGTCAGCACTGCGGTCGGTGCAAGCCGGACTGGGATTCGAACCCGGTTCGCCTCATTGGCAGGCGAACGCTCTATCCCGTGAGCCATCGCGGCTCACTGTTAATCTATTATTATGACCACTACAACCATTCTAAATGAAATATATAAATATAAGAATGAGATAGAAAAGCAAATGCTTTTCTGTATTTTTAAATGCCTGTATAAAATCTTCTGGAAAAACCGGAAAAAATCGGCAGCTATGTAGCATGATTACTGTTTGAAGTTCATAACGTATCTAACACATGGCTTCTGCAAATTTGATTCAAAGCTTTATTTTCGAATTTTCGTAGTGAAATAAGATTTCAATTTCGCACAATTTCAATAAAAATAATTTTAACATGGAAAGTCATTACGATTAACCATATCTGTTAATTTTTATTCTTTTTGTTCTTTCACTATGTTGCATAGATCAATCTATTATTATAGAATTAAAATTGTTCTCCGACAAGATTTATAAAATAATCAGACATTTTCAAAATTCACATCAATTCAATCATATATTCAATCTCAATTCAAACAATATTTAACTTTTTTTAAGACTTACTTATAATAGATAAGTTATTGTAACTTAATTCAAGTCTGAATTCAATTGAAGTATTATCAGCTATAAATTGAAGGCAGAATTTATTAGCAAAAAGTTTATAAAAAAGCACGATGTTCTAAGCGAAGTTTATGAGTATGTGCTCGAAAGCATGAACATTTAATGCAGTAGTAGTAGTAGTAGTTAATTTACGCCACACTAGAGCTGCACAATGGGCTATTGGCGACGGTCTGGGAAACATCCCTGAGGATGATCCGAAGACAAGCCATCACAATTTTGATCCTCTGCAGAGGGGGTGGCACCCCTGCTTCAGTAGCCCAACGACCTGTACGCGAAGTCGAGCACTTTACGATAGAACAGTTTAACGAGGACCAATACCGCACACTCTCGGTCCCTACGCAGGCTGATCCAAGTGATCAACCACCCGCAGCCAGCGATGCTTGACTTCGGTGATCTGCTGGGAACCGTGTCTTAACAATCAGTTCACTGCGGGACGAAACATTTAATGCAAAATTAGTTTTAGAATTTCTGGAAGGCTGCATTTAAAGAGCAGTGTAATTTATCAATTTTATTTGAATTTATAAGGGGATCGTTCGAATATTACAAAGACAAAGCTGAGAGGGATTTGAGATTATTTTGCCGACAAGGGTGAAGAGTATGAGCAATGCTTACGCATAACATTAAAATCACATTTTCAAAACTTCTTTAATTGAAAAAAAAATTTCACTTAGTAAACTTTATTTCAAATTTAAAGTTTAGAAATAAAGAATTTGACTGAATTTCTTTTCTTTTCCAGAGGTATCAACCACTGAAAGTAAACACAAGATCCCTAAAGAATATTAACACGTTGAGCGCCGCGTCTGAAATCGGTGGCTGACGCGACGAAAAAGATGACGTAGCTGCTAGATTGTGCGAGCAGTGAGATTAAGTTCATTTTATAAACTATCATTTTTTTTTATTTCCAATGGCAGGCCAATTTAAAAGAACAAAAAGAATAAAATAACAAGAAAAACAAGGCAAAAAGAGATAAATAGAGTAGAATGCATGACATGCTTAGCCCATACTGGCCCTAGCCTCCCAGTAGTGGAGATGAGCGCAAGACAGACGGAAATATGGGGCAGGTTCATGCACTCCCCAAGGCGTCAGAGCTTGCACTTAGGACAGTCAAAAATGTTTATACTAAAATGGTGTTTGGCCAGACAGTCATGGCCCGTTACAAGTCTAAAGAGAGCAACTGCCTTAAACCTGGGCTGATTTGGGATAGTTAAAATATGGTTGAACCAGGTTTTGTGTAGATTGCTTTTGCGGAAATTCTCTGAGAGCATGTTCCGGATTCGCAATTTAAATGAGTGCAGAGAAATGAAGCAACGAGATGCTTGGGCAATAGTTGTTCCCTTCTTGGCCAAGAAATCAGCTTTTTCGTTACCCCAAATCCCGCCAAAGTCCACTGGAGGACGATTTGCTTGCCTTTTAGTGTCTTTCAGACAATCAATGCATTTCTAACTTGAGATGGATTGGGGAATCAGTGGAGAGTTAATATCAAGAAGTGCTGCTTTAGAGTCAGTGCGACACTGAAGTTGTTTTAAGGCAATTAGAATAGCCTCGATTTCACCGTCGTAGGCAGATGCATAGCAGAGAAGAGGTGACGAAATACTCCATCTACTCGGGAGCCATCAGTAAAGATTCTCAACCATACAGGTTCAGGAGATATAGCTCATTCATAAGAGATTCCTTTAAGGAGATCACAAGCAAAATCTGATCTTAGGACTCTGAGAGCAAGGTCTGTGACCACATTGAGAGTCTAGTGGGCTACAAGGAGTGGGAAGAATTCCAGGCTCAATAATTACAAATTATCATTTAGGTTTAAATTTCGAAGTCGGTACATTGTTAACAAGGTAAAAATTGTTTTATTACGATTCTTTTTCTCAAATGACGATTCTTCTTTTAAACATGCAAATAATAAATCAGGCAACAAATATGAGAAATATTAGTTACAGAAGATAGTTTCAAGACACAATGATCATGTTTTGAGTAGAGCTTGACAAAGGTAGGGGCAGTTACCCTGCGCCCCCACATCAGAGGAGCCCTCAAATCGAATACAAAGTTTAGTTTACGTTTCTTTCTTTGATGAACTTTTTTTTTAAACAAAATGTCTGCACAGTGTAAAATCCATCGGTTTTAAGTTAGCTTCTTCATTAATTTATCGTAAGAACACGATCTATATTTCGTAAATCCATGGCTTTCTGTGGCAGAATTCAGCAAAATTTTTGCAATGACGATGGACAAATTTGACCAATCAAATGCCTGCACTTTTACATATCGCAAAATGCGATATTTTTACAAAGATACAGGCTTTTGATTGGCTTAATTGAGACATCGTAATTGCGAAAATTTAGCTGAATTCCACCCTAATGTCAGCAAGGATATGGATTTTTCGCAGCTAGATGACAAAGGTAACAATCAAAAAACTGCATTCCGCGTGATGGACATAGAATCAAAAAATGAACAACGATATTTCATCTGAAAATCGGAGGGGGCGGGACTTTATAGCTATTTTAGGTTCTAGTCAATTTTCTTGTTATTTATAATGAGGTGAGAAATTTAAATACCTCCATAAAGTTTGATTCTTTATTGCTGAAGTAGTAAAGCAGAGAGGGCCCTCAAAGAAGTTTTTGCCCCGGGGCCCCAATTAGGGTAAGTCGGGCCCTGGTTGTAAGCCAAATGCCTTCAAAATACAACGGAAACAGTAACCCGGAAGTAGAAAACACCATCCATCCGAATGATGCTTAATAAAGCTTATGAATCAAAACAGTTAAGACAATTAAGAAAACAAAAATTGATTTTCATGAAAAAAATAAAAAACCAACTTCATGCAATAATACAATATACACAAATTTATTCATTTTATACATAAAATATATTTTAAAACGACACATATATTACATAAGTCTTTACAACAACTTCCAATGAAGAATCCATTCCTTGGTCAATAAATAATCCAAGTTTCTCAGCTCTCGATGAAATAACATTAAAAAAGAAAACTGAAATGAAAATAATTAAAAAACTAAATTGCTGGTTAATTTGAGATTTAAATTTAAAAATGTAAAAAAATTAAATAATTTGTTAAACTTTTGAATTTCAAAAGTTGATATTCACTTCTTCAATTACATATATGCTT